AGCATCATCTTATTTATTCTAACGGAGAAAGACGTGAAATTAATTTTCTTGACGAAAAACAGAGTCAAAAGAGAAAAGTTTCAACCGGTGAAATATCGGTCTCTCCCGATCTGATTGACGTTTCAACCCGACCGGCTCCGGCTCTGAACCACGTACAGACATTAACATTATATTATATGTTGCGGTATACTGTGACGTTTCCGCTATGTAACCGCCAAAATAACCGTACGGTTACAGTGCGACATTTTTTTTAAACCGCGGTTATTTTTCTCATTATAAATTCATAGGACATGAGTTCGAACCTGTTTCAAGCTTTATTTTCTTTCTGGTTATTTATCTAGCGCTCAAAGCGCAAGAAGGCTTGAATTCGAGTCGTGAATCTAAAAAGAAGAAAATCGAAACTTACTTACTTTTCATATAAACTTTACTGTGAAAGTTACTGATAAAAAGTGAATAATCTGCCCACGCCATCAATAATTCAGAAAAGCCACAAATCAACGAATTGCGTGGATCAGAGTGAACCGTAGCGTATGCTTCAATATCGGATGGCGGCTCACGCTCGTCGACCCACTCCACCCAACATCGCACTATGGTTACAAACAGACTTCTTATTTGTTACTCTCTGAATTAAAACTTGTGTATTCTTTCTGTTTCTGAATACTTGAATTCCAAGTATTGTTCAAACCGATTCGATACAAATTCAAAGAATTTTTGGCTTTTTCGAATTCAAGAAATTGACAAAAAACCACATTATGAATTTTTGTATTCTTTCAATTAAAAAAACTCAATAGTCTGGGTCAATGTATGAATTCCTGAATTTCTGAATTAAGAAAAATCCTTGATGGTTATTCGTCATTTCTTGATGCTAATTCTGAATTCGTGGAATGGCTAATTCTGATTTTCTGAAATTTCAGAAACTGGAAAAAAGCTGGATGCTAATTCTTTAATTCTTTCTGCTACTCTTGAAAATTTTATCAGTGTAGAGTTCTATGAATTCGGCTGCCCTTTTATGGAAATGAACTACTTACTTAAACATAACGATTGTCTGTTTTTCTTCCATTGCTCCAACCGTTTTAATGAAAAAATGTGGGATGTATTTATCGGGGCATTTTCGAGGATTGTACAAGAACGTGTATAAAATTTAAACAGTGGAATCATATATAGCTACACCACGTCTTGTCTTAACGAAAACACTTTGCTCTATGAATCTAAATGTTCAAGTACCTTCAAAAAGCAATTGTAGGATAGGAAGTGATACAAATTCTGAAGTAGTGCGGATACACTTCAATAAGTTTATCACAAAAAGAAGTTCTGATAAGCAGAGAGGGAGGGCTGCTACTTGATTCTAACAGAATTATTGAAAATAAGGTAAGTTTAATTCAAACCCTGTTTCTGCTCAATGAAGTAGTCAATTTTCAAACACCTCTTCTCTTAGCTGGTCGAAAGATCCACTTCATTTTTAATTCTGCTAGGTGACGCTTGATTTAGCGGAGGAGAAGAGCGAAAAAGAATGATTACTACGTGATAGGTGACCGGGTATCGTACACATTTTTTTCCCATTTTCTAAAACTCACTTTTTTAAAAACATTCTTCAATATATAAGTACTTCGTGGCTTATATATATATGTAACCTTGTTGCTCAATCCATATTTAGAGATATTAATTTTATATATATACAGTTATTCTCGAACGTGTGCACACAAGCCCATTTTTTACATTTTTCAAAAAACAGCTTCATGAAATATGAAACTTCAAAACAGATCAATGCTACCTGAATTGTCACCGATCTATTTTTAATCGAAAAAAGATTTGTGGACACATGCTAGAGAGAGGGAGGGATAATATCAAATCAATGAAAGCTACATTATTCAGGGGCGTCTCGTTTTTCATTGTTTGAACTGTAGGCACACACCGATTTCATGAAGAGTCCAAAATAAATATATTTATAGTTTCTTATTATTCGTGCGCCACGTACATAATTTAAGAGAGAGAAATAGATATCAGCTACTGTTCTCACGTGAATATAACACCGTTTTCAGCCTTATTTGCCAGCGACAAGAATTGCGATCATTTCATAATAATTTAACAGAACTTAAAACTATCTAGTAGAACTAAGATGAGAAAACTTTTCTCGTATAGTCTGAATATATTTTTTGCCACAGGGAAAACAAAGTATTTACAGATGGTTCACTGTGTTATGCCTGATAATTTTGATAAGTATAAGAATATGAAAAGTTTGCAAAATGACATTAATTTCTATAGGTCATACTTTGAATGTGTACTTTAGGGGAGGGACGGCGCATGAATAAAAACGACGCACTCTTTGATAGAAAGATACTCAACTTTTTTCTCAAGCGTATTTAAAGCATAAATCTTTTCTACAAAAATTAAAATTTATTTTCTTTTGTTCAAAATCAGCATTAACTTCCAAGTATTATGTAGTGACAAGCACTCGTTGTCGTTTTCCTAACTCATATTTAAATGTCAAATGACCTTTTCCTATTGTTTGTTGCACAGTAATCTCTAGCAGAATGTTATAAAAGATGTTAAAAAGATCAACGACCTTATATTTTTTTCTCCTTGATTTCTTTAGAAGTTTTATTAAATGTTCCATTCTTTTTTCTTTTTCTTATATTTTCCGTTTAAAGAATAAAAAAGAAAACTTGTGTCGTCTAAATTCTTTGTTAGTTTACTTCTGTAAAGTGCATATAGCTCTATGTCTTACTGAAAGTGAGTGTTAATGCATCACAACGGCAGACCTTCAGTAGTGGGCCGTAATTTTTGTCAATTTCTTCTTTCTATTTATAGATACTATCACAAATATCAATTGGATCACGAATCTCAGCGTGATTTCAACAGTTGTGTATGAGAAATATGGGCTATGATGAAACAAAGGAACTCACTAATAAAACAGTTGCTACTATATTCTGTGATTGACATCTGATGTATTTTTCTTGAAGAAGGAAATTCGTATGCTTTTTGATACTATACTATTATTTTGGGTGTAGGAGTTTAGAATCCAATTGTCATAAACTAATCCATTGATTAATTAGCTATATAATGCCGCCGATAGTTTCATTAAGAAACCATTTTACAAGTCAAAAGTAAATTGCATGATTTTTATGAGAATGAAAAAGTTTACACGAAGTGAAAACAGTTCGTATAGGTAGTATATTTCTAAGATGTTTTCAAAGCAGTCAATTCACGCAGATAAAAATGCTGTTGTTAACTCCCTTGTAAATTTTTGAACGTATTATAGTCCCGTATAAACTCACTTAACATTTTGCATACATTTGCTCGTGTGTTTATATACAGCTTTGTGGCTTTGTATTCGGTAAATATCATCATTAGTACTTCATTGTTATGTTAGTTTCTTCCCTCTATGAGACACAGGTAATATTTTTAACTTTATTTCTATGAATCAACCAATAATGTGGCCAATTTTCATTTTATATTCGTTCTTTCATCTAGAAAATTACCTCCCTGTGACAAAGATGCGAGTTTATTTATCAGAATAAAAACAGCCGTAAATTGGCTTGTATTTTTATTTCAGTGAGATGTATATATGCACCTATATCGTTTTGTTTTGCCGAGAAAATTGCATGTTTTATAAATCAAGGTTACTCGCCTTTCTTCTTCATCATCAATTGTACAAGTGTATATTATATTGAAAAATCATTTTATATTTTAAATTAGTATATCGTATGTTATGTGTACACTAATATATGAAGCAGCCAAACATTCCTTAGTTCTCGGAACAGAATGATAGTGGGTTTAACCAAGCATATGATAAGTGTATTGCCAATAGACAAGTAAAAGAAAAATTTACATTTAAACGAAAAAAAATTTGTTTTTTAACTTCTTTGTTACCTTCTTGAGAATTATATAGTTCATATTGATGTGCAGAGCAATTTTCCAGTAGCACTGAGAAAGAGAGAGAGAGAGAGTGATCTGTAGTAAGTATGTGTGTACAAAGAATATAAAAAGATTTATTTTATCCATATGTTTAAGATACCCACATCATCAAATATAGACATACAGAAGAGTATATATTTAAAAGATTTACTGTTACATATCTTATTTTCACACTCTTTCTCTTTTCTCTTCATTTACTCATTCGGACTATATTATTCATCCGATAATCAGAAAAGATTGCCATCGAATAAATATTGTACATAAAAATTATTTTGCCACATGCGTTCGTAATCAAAAAGTTTTTCTTTTTTTTTTCTTTTTTGTGTATAACATCTCTCTCCGATCGGCTTTACCCTTTCTTTTGTTTATCACACTATTTTTCAGCTATCTAACCATCTTCATTTCATCCTCCAAGAGTCGGTTTTTATTTGGTACTCGCATAGTGCACAGATCAAAAACTTTTCTTGGAATGAAACAGGTATTGGGAAATATAGGATTTTCGAAAACCAAAGATATCGAGCCAAAATAATTATTCTATGGATAATAAACTTGTTTTGCTGAAAATATAATATTCTACTAGAGAAAAAGTATCTTCCTATGTCTGCTTGTGTGTATATAAATATATATCCTGCAGATGTCTATCTACGAATTGCATGTGGCGCACGAGAAGTGAAGAAGGTGAATGAAGAAAAAATACCATGTACATGTATATTCGCGTTCTCTTTTTTGACATATTATTAATACAGTACACTTTTTTCTTCTTCTTTTCTTTTTGTTGTTCAGGTGCACTGTATACATCTGTCTGGCTGTGTACAGGTAAATACTGACTGATCAGAAAAAAATATGTAATTAAACTTATGTCTTGTATTTTAAATTTATATTCTTCATCTATATGTCTAAATATAAATATATAAATATTATGTACACATCGAACTATTCATCATCATTACCTGAAACAAATCAACAATAACAACATTAATCGACGACGGTATATTACTAGCAATCATCTACAGTCGACTTTCAGTCACTATAGTCATCGTCTATTTTAATAAGAAACCAAAATTATTCTCCAATTTTAAATATTGATGAGCCGCTCAAGTTCTCAACAACCATATTCACAAGACTATTCATCTTCTAGAAAATCTGCGATAAATAATACAAATAATGATTTATTTGATATGCGAGATGATAGTGTACGTAGTTATCCATTAAATTCAAATCGTTATGATGCATCCGCTTATTCACCATCTTGGCGTATAGCCCCAACAGCATACGGTTTCGAATCAAGATATTCTGATAATACTCCACGTCAATATGAACAATTCCGTTCATCTAACACTCCATATGATAGTACAGGCAGCGGAGCACGATCTCATTCATACGATGATTTAATAACTGAACAAAATCGCCCTCAAACATTCTATAATTCATCAGTACGAAGTGGCGGTATAGGTGGTATTGATCGAAATACATTCGGTCACTCACATCAACAACTCAATACTACTGACGACGATTTAACTGTAAAGTCAACTGATTTATCGGCACCACACGAACAAGAAATGTTAGAACTAATACGAGCAGCATTTCGTAAATACGATTTACAAAATCAGCGTGAAATAGCTGGATTTTTAAAACGAGGTGCCGATAAAACATTTCAATCATGTTGGCATTGTATTGTTGGCAGACAATTTAGCTCGTATGTTACACATGAAATGAATGGTTTTATTTATTTAACAAAAGGACCGTTGAGTATTCTATTATTCAAAAGTGGATGTTAAACAACTGGTTTATACAATGTCGGGCGAGTTATCTGCTTTTCCTATGTGGACAACGTATTTTGCACTCACACTCACATACACACACTACTTTCAAATTAACAAAACTTTCTTATTCCTTCTAATTACTCTAGTATGAGAATGCAGTGGAGTTTTAGTTATAATTACTAAAATGTGATGCATGGCCGAGAAAAACTGATCTCAAACACAAAATATATGTGCTTATTTTTTATATTTTTATACACTTGAATAGTTTTTGTCTTCCGAAACGTCATTTACTTTTTGTTTTGCTAAATGAGAACAAGGCTAGTGGTCTGAATATACCAGTATATGGCACATGCTCTCACTTTTGGTAGTTGAACTCAAGTACGCAGGAGGACGATGGACTCAGTAGATTTGATGCTAATCCTCCTACATTTTAAAGGATAAATAACGAAGTGGGATAGGGTTAGTTCAAATACCGAGAGACAGTGTTTAAACAAAAATAGCAAACAGAAGTCTGCTAAAGCATTTTACGTAGATATATTTTAAAAAAATGAAAATTTTTATTTTTCAATTGATCTTCAAAAAAAAGTAACCACAAAACATGCTATTTATATATAAGATAGGTGTATTTTTATATTTAGCATGTATAACTTCTCTGTTCTTTCTTCTTACGGTGCTAATATACTCTCATTATCGCGGTACAAGTATATATTTGAATTGGAATAACTAACGCTTTATAGATTAGAAAAAGATCATTTTTTTGGATAGTTTTTCGTTGTGTTTGTTTTTACATACTTTTAAATAATGCGTGTCATATATATCAACAATTTTTTAAGAAAAAAAAATGAAATGAAAAAATTGAATTGATATGGTAACATTGGTAATCGTTGAGAGTGCTTTATTCGTAACTCCAAAGCTTCGCTCACCCGAATTAACAATTTTAAATTGAAAAGTAAAAATACTTTATTAACGATCACTCTCAAACTACTTTACTCATAAATAAGTAAATATGAAAAATATTACGGTAAGTGAATATATAACATTTGCTCTTTATTAAATAAAAGAAATTAGCCAGAACATAACACGACAACAGTTCGACATATTAAACAGCAATTATTGGTCAGTGATAATCTGTTAGATACTGCGAACTTTCATCGAAAAATTCTTTATAGAAACTTTTTTACTGTAGGTTATGGCTAAGAAGCTTACGCACCGATAAGATTTAGCAGATAGCAGAGCCGTGAGAGTGCATAGGAAAGCTCTTTAAGGAGGAAAACCATGACTCAAGGACCAAAAAGTATTTTCGATGAAAGTTCAGTGAATCAGTCTGTTAAACAAAAATAAAAGAACGATAAATTCTGTTGCTTATATTGAGAAAGAAAGATACTTTGAATTATTGATAATAGTTTCACTGTGTTCTAGAGTGTTCCCTCATAAAATCATTTTCTCCTATGCAAGACTGTGTGTACCCAGTAAAATCAGTTTAATTAATAATCACAGCAATGATTATTGTAGTATTTACTCTTCTACTAATGTTGTTGTAAAGCATTTTCTGTTTTAGCAATTTGTAATATTTTGCTGTTAGTTTGGCTTATTTGTGTTCAAGTTCATAAAAGGAAAAGCTAAAACTGATTTCTAGTCAAAAATAAAGAGCAACACACTGTCGTTTGACAGTACGTGGTCAATTTCTTATTTTACATTGCTAAGGATGCATGGAAGATGATATAGTGGTATATGTGTGAATGACTGCAACTAGTGTTTTTATTCAAATTAAAAGAGTTTTCTAACGTCTGAGTCCAATGGCCGTACAGATCTTTAATCTATGCTGAAATTCATAGAAAACATGCTTAAAGAAAGATCCAAATATGAAAAATCGAGAAAATTGACATCATTGATTCTGTAAATTTTGAAGAATCACAAAAGGAAATCAGTTAAAGATCATCTGACCGAATTAAAATTTAATAGAATTAATTCAAATAAAATAACATGGCCAGATAAAGTGAATGTATTAATATGGGTCGTTCGAATATTTCGAACAGACGGACCATCAACATTATAAATATCATTTTCAAGATATGTAAACAACAGCATATTTCTTGTATTTGTCTATTTTCTTGACCTTTATTCATTTTTCCAGCAGCCTGAACATCAAAATTGAATAACGCATTCAAAACAGTTGTGCTTTCATTATCATACCATCATCATCAGGACTGGCGGTAAAAACATATCTTGATTAGGCACAATTGTTCAAAAAGAAATATCAAACTATCTTTCACAATACCACCATTACAAAATGATTTTTATTTGACACCAAAACTTCTCCAAACTGTTAATAACTATAGAAGTAGTCTCAATGTAGTCTTCAAAATCGCGAAGTCTGTCTGTGTTTTATCACAATGTTAAGAGTCTTTGTCCAAATCTCGATGCTTTGAAAAGTCTAGTGAAACACTCTATCGATTCATTGAAGCTAATTGATGTTTTATGTGTACAAGAGTCATGGCTAATTTATAGTATTGGAGATGTGGAATTAGACATCCAACGGTATTCCATTCATCGACTACACAGACTTCCCAAAGCTAATAACTAGTTACAAGATACATAGTTTGTACGGTGCTCGTATGAACGACTTCTAGAAAACTTGTATACCTCTTGTGAGTATCGTTAGCTTACGTTGGGTATGACTGCGTAAATTGTGCGAATCGGTAGTGGTATCAGCAGATCCTAACTCAATTAATTCAATCAGGGTTTTTCCAGGCATAATCTTGTGGAATAAAGTCAGACGTTGATGAATATTTTTTCTGTGAGAAGGCAATCGAGATCTTCAGGTACTCTCTTCATGGGGGAAAGCCTCATACCACCTGTCACTGCAAGCGCTCCATGATATTGTAGGGATACAAGTCGATTCAAATTTGTTCTAGTTGTGCCAGAATATAGAACACTACCGTAGTTCGATCACTCACAATAATTAGCTTGCGTTTCGTAAACTCCAGTTATTAACCCTTTGGCTGCGGGTGGCCCCGCATGGGACCCACAGTGATTTTCTGGCATTTTGAAACATATAGATTCCTATATAATATCAGTTTTCATGACAGCATTTATCAGAGACTTTTTTGGTATAATTCGGGTTATAACTAGATTATTTTATTCTGATAATCAATAATGGACAATAAATATAAAACAGCTGACTTTACGGAAAAATTTGCTAAAGGCTAAAACCCTTGTAAGAAACGTTTCTGTCTCAATGGGGATAAGGTAAATTGGTTAGATGTATGTTCAGGTAGAGAGTTCTAGGATATTTGCAAATGTTGGAAATATCCATGTGTTTTTCCCAACATGACGTATTGTGCTTTTTCCCAGTGTGTTATCACATGTTCTATATTGGACTTGTCCCAATATATTCGTTTATGTCATACTTGGTATTTTTCAACATGCTTGTGCATATATGTGTGTGTCCGTGCCACTCTTTTTGTCGATAACTGGTATTCGTCTCCTGTTCTATTTGAAGCATTACATTCTATGAAAACTGGAGCATGTGGTACTGTAAGATCGAATCGAATACATTCAACTAATTTCCAAAAAATCATATTGAAACAATATCAGCAAGTATTTAGACATACAGACATACTTCTGGCGTTGAAGTGGAAAGATCGACGTGATGTTCATATCCTCTCAACTATTCATGAAACAAACATGGTACCTACGGGCAAAATCGACCACATCACCAAAAATTCGAAAATGAAACCGATTTGTATCAAAGAATACAATGAAAATATAAGAGCTGTAGATAAATCTAATGTGCAGATCAGTTTCTCAGAATGCATACGAAAATCTATAAAGTGGTATAAAAAGTTTTTCTTTCATCTACTTTATGTTACTTTACTAAACGCCTTCATTTTATACAAGTTCAAGATCGGAAAAACAATCCATCTATCGGACCTTCGACTGGAAGTGATCCGATCCATTATCAAATCTATGGAAAGTCAAAAAAAAAGGAAAAAAAGGAAGACCACCTTTAGAAAATCCATTGAGACTTACTGCACAACACTTCCCTTCACTCATTGAAGGTTACTCAGTTGAAGGTACCTCTGAAAGAACAAAGAGATGAAAGTGCCATGTCTGCAGTAATACAATAACAGCTCCAAAAAAAAGTACTAAAACACGATATGAGTGTGTTCAATGTAATGTTGGTTTATGCGTTGTACCTTGTTTTGAACTGTATCTCACTTTGAAAAACTTCTGAACATCCGTATTTATAGAGATTTTTAATAAACTAGAACTACAGATTAATTTACGCTCAAATATATAGCAAAAAAGAGATTTTAAGTTTCTAAAAAAAACCCGAAAACCCAAAGGGTTAAAATCAAGTCAACGGAACTAAAATGGTGCAGAATGATATGACTTTCCGAGAAATTTTTCAATCTTGTTTTCAATCAGTATTTCTGTGATTTTCATTTATGATTGTTTTTGGACTATACCCTAGTCGAGACTCCCGGCAAAACTCCCACGGGACTCCTGTCACGGGGTCCTGCGGGATCCTGTAGGAGTCAGGTGGGACTTTCAAGGGATTTCTCAGGACTCCTGAAGACTCCCGCGGGACTTTGAGTATTGTGAGGACTTTCGTTGGACTCCCGCAGGACTCGAAACCTCCACAGAAGTCTTCAGGAGTCCTGAGAAATCCCTTGAAAGTCCCACCTGACTCCTACAGGATCCTCCAGGATCCCGCAGGACCCCGTGACAGGAGTCCCGTGGGAGTTTTGCCGGGAGTCTCGACTAGGGTAGAGCCGTCTTTTGTCTCGAATTTTCTGCTAATTTCTGCATCAGTAGAAAATTCGGCGCTAGCTGCCACCTGAACCAAATAGAGCCAAATTCGAGTATGATATGTACAGTTTTACGGGAAATACGACAGCAGATTTCTTTTAATTTCATTTTGAGTTTCAAAGGAGTCAGCACAATCAGTACGATTTTCCGTAGCAAATTTCAGCTTCTTTGTTTCGTTCCGTCGTTCTTTTTCTTTTCTG